TTGGCCACGCCCACACGGTGCTAGGCCACGCCCACCACGGCTGGACCCTCCCAGGCCACGCCCACAGGGACGTGGAGCAGTTTAAGCCACGCCCACATCGAGTAGGACACGCCCACAGGGAGCTGCACACGCCCACAAGGGTACAGGCCACGCCCATAACGGTTGGGCCCACCCAGGAAACGCCCACAGGGAGCTGGACACGCCCACAGTGAGGTAGAAGGGCTTAGGCCACGCCCACTTCGAGTAGGACACGCCCACAGGGAGCTGGAAACGCCCACAGCGCGCGGGGAGGCGTCCAGGCCACGCCCACAATGGCCCAGGCCACGCCCATAACGGCTGGACCCTCCCACGCCACGCCCACATGGAGCTGGACACGCCCACAAGGTGCTAGGCCACGCCCACATGGAGCTGGACACCCCCACAGGGACATAGAGGCGTCTAGGCCACGCCCACATGGTGCTAGGCCACGCCCATAACCTCGGGACCCACCTAGGCCACGCCCACAAGGAGGAGGACACGCCCACAGGGAGCTGGACACGCCCACAAGGAGCTAGGCCACGCCCACAGTGAGGTAGAAGGGTTTAGGCCACGCCCACAAGGGACCAGGCCACGCCCACCACGTCTGAACCCTCCCAGGCCACTCCCACAGGGAGCAGGACACGCCCACAGTGAGGTAGACACGCCCACAGGGACGAAGAGGCGTCTAGGCCACGCCCACAAGGTGCTAGACCACGCCCACAAGGAGTTAGGCCACGCCCACCTCGGCGGGACCCTCCCAGGACACGCCCACAGGGAGCTGGACACGCCCACAGGGACGTAGAGGCGTCTAGGCCACGCCCACAAGGTGCTCGGCCACGCCCACCACGGCTGGACCCACCCAGAACACGCCCACAGGGACGTGGAGCAATTTAAGCCACGCCCATATCGAGTAGGACACGCCCACAGGGAGCTGGACACGCCCACAGGGACGTGGAGCCGTCCAGGCCACGCCCATAATACATTAGACCCACCCACAGGGGGCTGGACACGCCCACAGGGACGTACACCCGCCCAGGCTACGCCCCCAAGGGCCTTGGCCACGCCCACAGCGACATAGACACGCCCGCCATGAACTGGACACGCCCACAGTGACATAGCCCCTTCTAGGCCACGCCCACAAGAGCTGGACGTGCGTACAAAGGACTGGACCCGCCCAGGCCACGCCCACAATGAGCTGGAGTCACTCAGGCCACGCCCACAATAGGCAGGACTCACACGAGCCACGCCCACAGCCAGTTCAACCCACCAGGCCACGCCCACAACCAGCCCGACCCACTAGGCCACGCCCACATCTACTCTCAGCCCCGCCCCTGACTCTCCACCCACCAAGCCACGCCCCTGGCCACGCCCACCCACAAAGCCACGCCCACCGCGACCTCACCCCCTCCCCACTGCCTCCACTTCCTGTTGTGGGCGGGCCTGGCAATGGCAGGGGGGGGGGACTAAGAACCGGAAATGAGGTCTTCAGGGGGCGTGGCTTGGCCAGTGACATCACCCAGGGGGCGTGGCCTGCGCGGGTATATAAGGCCCTGCCCTGCGGGGCTGGATCCCAGTCCACTTCCGATCCCCGCTGAGCACTGTGGCTCCATCCAGGGCCCTAGGCCTCAGCCCAGCTTCCAAGGCCTACCAGAGGGGGACTGAGCACAGCACCCCACCCCAGGGGGACTGAGCACCCAGCACCCAAGGCCTACCAGAGGGAGACTGAGCACCCAGCACCCAAGGCCTACCAGAGGAGGACTGAGCACCCAGCACCCAAGGCCTACCAGAGGAGGACTGAGCACCCAGCACCCACCCCAGGGGGACTGAGCACCCAGCACCCAAGGCCTACCAGAGGGGGACTGAGCACCCCAGCACCCCACCCCAGGAGGACTGAGCACCCAGCACCCAAGGCCTACCACAGAGAGACTGAGCACAGCACCCACCCCAGGGGGACTGAGCACCCAGCACCCTGGATACTCACCACCCACGTCGCAGATGATGTGGAAGGCCGAGAGGTCGAAGGCCGTCAGCACCCTGTGGCCTTCCAGGCGCCACGTGGCCTCCATGGCCCGATGGAAGGCCACACGCTCCTCATCGGCCCTGTGGGAGGGACTCAGCACTGAGCACCCAGGGGGGACTCAGTCCACGCCAGGCCCAAGTCCACCAGACTGTCATGGTCCCAAGTAGGGGGGACTCACCTGTAAATGGCGGCGAAGAGATCGTCTGAAGGCGTCCCGAAGGCTCGGAGATACTGGTTCCGCCCTTCTCTGCACAAAACCACAGGGGGAGAGAGATACACCATCATCCACCCATCCACCCATCCATCCACCCATCCATCCATCCATCCATCCACCCACCCATCCATCCACCCATCCACCCATCCATCCACACATCCATCCATCCATCCACCCATCCACCCATCCATCCATCCATCCATCCATCCATCCATCCATCCAT